TTTCTAAATGAAAACACAGAATATGCATATTAATCCAAATAATTGATTTTTACTATATGAACTAGAAACACAAGCAATTCTTTATATCAGAGGTATGATTATTATTTTATTTTCAACTATGGGAAGAAATTTTAACTTGGGAGAAAGATACACCTTTACTGTCATCCTAAAGTAAAGTTCTGGCCTAATTTAAAGCATTTTGCCCTCTGTAAATGTTACCCATCCCAGTTTTTCACTTGAACTGTGTCCTTGGGAAATATTATTCAATTATTAAGACTGACTTACCTTTGACTTGTCTGTAGTTCTTATTCAGAATCACAAATGTCCTCAGAAAATCTCTATATATCCCTCTTTTCTGTTAAATAGAGTTAAAAGAAAATAACCTTCCAGAATCATTTAGAGGATCATCATAACATGGTGGAAACAACAAAGTGCCCAACATGGAGATTACCCTTTCTGAACTCTTGCCTCTGTTTCAGAATACCATACCCAGAACAACAACTGGAAAAGGAAATAAGAGACAAAAAGATAGTGTTGTGTTAAATTTGAGGGAATGAATTCAATCCCAATCATCTTTGGCTATTTTCTAAATAAACTGCATGCACAGTGGAGTATGATGTGCATTGGGGAGGGGTTTAAGAACATTCAGGTTGCAGATATGCATTAAAAGCCACATGACTTTGATTTCTCTCTCCAGAATATAACCTTTCATATTTATAAAATGAAAAAAAAACTACTAGTTGGTGGATAAATATGAGGTAAAATAAAAAACTTTTCCATAAATTTTGCTAGCAACCTTTATATCAGACCTATGTCCAAAAGTAAAGGATAAAATCTTACTGGCTGAGGATATTTAAGCACAACCTTTGAACAGTAGATGGATTAACTGACTAAGGTCTGACCACTAGGTAGCAAAAAGATCATGAGACTGAAAGAGATAAACAAGAAAAAGTTTTGAGAAGAGGCATCCAAGGCTACATACTGTGGGAAAAACAGACTCTGTAGAGATAATTTAATTTACTAATGAAACAAACATTTGACTAAGGAAACAACAGCAACATCATCTTACCATCCCTAGGGAGGTAAAATTTCTCAACAAAAAGTTGAGACATACAAAGAAACAGGAATTTCTGACCTCAAAACATACACATACACAAACAGAAGCAGGCAATAGATAATAGACACTACTTTTGAAGAAGCCCAAATATTAGAATTGTCAGACGAAGGCTTTAAAGTAGCCATTATACATACGTTCAAAGAACTAAAGCTAACTACAACTAAAGAAATAAAGACAGGTATACTGATAATATCTTATCAAATAAATAGTATGAGCAAAGAGATAAAAATTATAAATAAGAACCAAATTTAAAGTCTGGAGTTGAAATTTTCAATAACAACTTAAATTTACTAGAAGGAATCAACAGTAAATTTGAGCGAGCAGAAAAAAATAATTCAGCGAAGTTCAAGATAGATCTATAAAGATAATATAATATGAAGAATAGAAAGGGACAAATGGTTCAAAAATGAACAAAAATTAATAAAGATTCAGAGAAATATGGAACATCATTAAGCCCATCAAATAGTTATAATAGGAATACCAGAAGGAAAGAAGATATAGAAAGAGACAGGGAAAATTTTCAAAAGAAATAATGTCTGAAAACTTCCCAAATATGACAAAAACATCAATCTACCTGTCAAAATCTTAATATATTCCAAATAGAAGTAATGCAAAGAGATCCACACCCAGACACATCAATGTCAAAATATTGAAAGTAAAAGTTAAAGAAAAAATCTTGAGAACAAGAAAGGAAAAATGACTCATCATAATAAAATTCCCCAGTATGATTAACAGTAGACTATATGTCAGAAATATTAGAGGCAGTGAAATAATATATTCTAAATGCTAAAAAAAAATAGAGGAGTGTCTACCAAAAATCATATAACCAACACAAATATCTTTTAAAGAAAAAAGTAAAATAAAAACCACAACTGAGAGGATCTGTTACTAGCAAATCATCCCTATAAGGAATACTAAAGGAAGTTCTTCAAATTGAAAGCCAGTTATATTAATATCAGAGTAATTCAAATACATATTTTTAAAAGTTAAAGATTTGTGGTAAAGGAAATTATATATTTATTATGAAAAAATAGTTGTGTTTTTCTTCTCCTGTCAGTTTTAAAAGTAATTCCATATGTATATTATTATATTGTTGAGCTTATAATGTGTAGAAATATAATATATTTGACAATGAGAGAACAATGGATATGTGCCATAGGCTGAATTGTGCCCCATGCAAAATTAATATATTGAAGCCCCAGCCTCAAGTAACTCATAATGTGATATATTTGGAGATAGTAATTAAATTAAAATGTGGCAATTAGTGGACCCTAATCCAATATGACCTATATCTTACAAGAAGAGGAATTTTGGATACAGACATGTATAGAAGGAAGACCCTGTGAAGACACAGGTAAGAAGACACCCATCTGCAAGCCAAGGAGGAAGGCATCAGAAGACACCAACCCTGCTTCTACCTTGATTTCCAACTTGTAGCCTCTAGAAATATGAGAAAATAAATTTCTGTTGTTTAAGGCACCCAGTTTGTGGTACTTTATTATGGCAGCTCTAGCAAGCTAATACATTAAACTTCATCCATATTAAAAACTTTCTTGTTGTAAATTATGCCATTAAGAAAGTGAAAAGTAATTTATAAATGGTACTATTCATTTTAATCATTTATCTGATAAGGTACTTGTATTCAGAATATATAAAAATGTATACAACTCAACAATAAAAAGACAAGTAATCCAATTAACATATGAGCAATGAATTGGAATAAACATCTCTCTAAGAAGATATACAAATGGCTGGTAATCACATGAAAAGTACTTCAACATTATTAGCCATGAGGGAAATACAAATCAAAACCACAGTGAGATTGCATTCCATACTTAGAGGACGACTAGAGTTAAAAATCCAGAAAATAACAAGTGTTGATAAAGATATAGAGAAAGTGAATCCCCTGTACATTGCTAGTGAGAATGTAAAATAATGCACCCTCTTTGGAAAACAGTTTGTCCATTCTTCAAATGTTAAATGAGGCATTAATATATGACCCAGACATTTCACCCCTAAATATTAAATATACCCCATAGAAATAAAAACATGACCTTACCAAATTTTTATGCATGCATTCATAACATCATTAATAATGCACAAAAACAGAAATGAGTCTCTATTATTAACTGATGAATGGATAAGCAAATTTTGACTATGTATTTGTGTGCATGTATGTGTGTACATATATATAAATATATATATATATAAATATATATATATGCTTTCAGCAATGAAAAGGAATAAATTATTGATGGATGCTACAACATGGATAAAACTTGAAAGTATTATAAGAGAGAGAAGCTAGTCACAAAAAAGACCATATGTTATTATAATATGTGATTCCTTTTATATGAAATGTTCAGAATAGTCAAATCAATAGAGACAGAAAGTAGATTTGCTGCTGCCTGGGGCTGGAGGAGAGAGAGAAAGTGACTACTAATGGCCATGAGGTATTTTGTAGGTGAATAAAAATTTTCTAAATCTATATTTGTGGAATAACTGCACAACTCTGTAAGTACACTAAAAAGCATTAAGTTGCACAATATACATGGGTGAATTTTTTGGTATGTGAAGTATATCCCAGTAGTGTTTAAAATTTATTATTAAGAGAAGTAATTTGAAGTGAATAATCTAAGAAAAAAACATGTGCGATGTTTACCAAATTAGGATACTTCGTTAAATTCTTACCAAAGAAACTGAAAAATAATTAAAATTGCTTTTGATATTAATATAAAAATCAGCATGTACTCATAAATAATGAAAGTCATCTTAATGTTTTCATAAATAAATAAAATATGCTACAAAGGAAAAAATACTTTAAATGATGACCCAGAAGATGATAGAAGGGAGATGAGAAAAACTAATGACAAAGTAGTCAAGAACAGCAAAAGAAATCTCTCTTACACTCTACTCAGCTATGTATGTGGTACCACCAAATAAAGCTATTGATTGTTCTTCCACATATCAAAAGAAAATGAGAATGCCTCTAAGTACTAGGCCCATGGAATTCACCTTTAGATAGCTCGAAGTATGAAAAAAGCCATTTGATGATGTGACTCTTCCCTTGAACAGCTGTAAAGAAGATAATTGGTCAGTCATGTGCATATACTGCCCTAGGAAAAAGCGTATGTTCATAAACACACACACACAGCCACATACAGATAGATATCCACATTTTTGTTTTTGTTTTTGTTATGCATAACCTAACAGATATAATACAGTTCTCTGAAACCAATTCTTGGACCCAGAGGAATTCACGGAACTACAGCTCTGCATACTGGAAAATTAGGAAAACCTACTAATCCAGAGACATAAAAGGGTTATACTTACAATGTTTCAGTTTGGCCAAAAAAGCCTTTTTGGAGTGTCATTGTGTACAAGTAACTGATCACATGAAGTAAATGTAGTAAGAGCTAGGTGGGCATTGTACATGAACACACTAGAGCATGAGCCCTAGACTGGGAGGTGCAGGTTACTATAGCAGAAAGAACAGAGTCAATGTAATGTGAGTTCCTTGAATATTTCTTATTTAATAATTGTTAATCCTAGTTTTCAATTTGTTTCATTTCTCTTGCAAGAGTGGGAAAATATTCCACACTGTAGTTTTTGCTATGATTACTAAATAAAATTATGTATATATAGCAGGTACTAAAATGCTTGGTGCTAAGTAGGTATAAACAATATGACTATTTGTTTTGTGAAAAAGCCATGATATTTAAGAATAGAAACATAAGTACAACAGCCTGAGCTCTAGCCATAAAATTACAGGGAGGAGGTAAAGCACAGATCCTGAGATTGGATAAAGGGACAAAATATAGTCACCAAAAGAGACTAGGAAGTGGAGTTTGGTTTTAGAAACACAGAAAGTTGAAGTAATAGGTCGTGTGGTTTTGAAAGAAAGGCTGTCTTTATTTGGAGTTATCTTCTGCGACAATGACTCCTTTTGTATGTTGCGGAAGAGTGAGAACTTGGATTTTCCTGCAGCTGGAGCTGAGCTCATATCACAGGACACTTTTCACACCCACAACTATCAACAGCTGAGCTGTGTAGCAATTGAAAACCTTGTAGCTCCTGATCATCAGTGATGACTGGCAATGATTTCTTCAGTCAAGAATAAGCATGAGTCTATTTCCTGGAGCTTGTGATACTGGAGACACCGGATTTGTTTCGTTCTTCTTTATTTACATTAAGATTGGACGCACGCAAGGATTGGGAAAGAATTCTAAAAAGAGAAGTATGATTAATGGAATCAACTCGTTCAGTGATGAAGAAAGATTGCAGGAACTGAAAATGTATTGTTTAGTTAAGCATCCCTTGTCTAAAGATCTGATAATAGTCTCCCAAGTACTTGAAAGGTGAAAATAATATGCTGTCCTTCATATGCAAATTTAAAACTACTATCCCATCATCAGTAGAATTTGTGCTTAACCTTCTTTTGATCAATGTTGAGAATAGCTTTTAACAATTTTAAACACCCTCCTTCATTCAATCCCTCTTGTGACCCATAGGATTCATGTAAGAGTATAGGATTAATGATGCTGCTTGCAAATGGAAAAAAGGCTGAGCAGTCTAACTTTAATAGAGACTGATTCCTTGATCTTATACTATTGAAAGGTGTTTTTCTCATATCAATCAATTCTCCAATTCTCTGATTTTCTGTGATCAACTGAGTGTCCAACGAACCAATTGAATTCTGAGACTGTCTACTTAGAGTTAGCACCAGATCCCACAAGTTAAAGGAGCTCAGTTCTACAAGATTGATCCCACTTGAGACAGCGGGTCCAAGTGCAGGACTACCTATATTTCTGACCAAATGTTTATAAATTAAGAGTTCCCATGACACCTTCCTCATATTCAATAATTTGCTAGAATGGCTCACAGAACTCCCCAAAAAACACTTTACTTAGATTTATTGATTTCTCATAAATGACATAACTCAGGAACAGCTACAAGAAAGAGATGTATAGGGTGAGGTAAGGGAGGGAGGGAACATGAAGCTTCTATTCCCTCTCTAGGTGCACCACACTTACAGCACTTCAATGCATTCACCAACCCAGAAACTCTCCAAAACTTGTCATTTAGAGGCTTTTATAGAGGTTTCATTTACCACTGGTGAATAGCTCAACCTTTAGATTCTCTCCCTTTCCTAGATGTTGGAGGAAGTGGAGCTGACAGTTGCACATTTCTAATCAAGTCTTTGTCTTTCTGTGGTGACCAGCTTCCGTTCTTAAGATATGGGTCCACCAAGAGCTGCCTCATTAAAACAAAAGTTTCTATGATCCTTATCACTCAGAAAATTCCACTGGTTTTAGAAATTCTGTGCCAGTAGCCAAGAACAAAGATCAAATGTTTTTCTATTATATCACATCTCTATACCAACTGGCTGAATTAATTTATCCCAAATAACATAAAATACTGGTCCACCAGTTAATGTACTTACCACAAACACAAAAAATTTACTGTTGTAGCTCCTGATCAAGTGTTCACATTGGCCCGTTTCTTACCATCTGCTTTTGTTAGGTAGATAGCAAGGGATTCTGGATCTCCCAGGGATGAAAGTGGGTGACTTGCCTTGGTGCAATTGCCCCGCCTGGGAAGAAGGACAAAGGTGGGCACCAGGCCCCAGTCTTAGTCCTGCCCCACCTTAATCCCATCCCAAGCAACTGCCATACCTGGGGGAGGAGGTAACACCCTACAAATCTGACAATCAGAACATAGCTTCCGAATTGCAAAAACATGCTGAGGATTCCCTAGCCCATGGACCAAGCTGCATAGGTACCAGAAAGTATGGAAAGTGACCTAGAACAGCCAGCTTTCAGAGAGGATAAGGAAAGATCCACATGCATAGCAGGACTCATGTCATATAACTCCCAACTGTCCAGTCATAATGGATCCATGGTGATGTTGAATCACAGGGGAGGTCCTTATCTGGAGACCATAAAATAAAACCTAGACGGTTAACCAAGTCCCTTATTTTAGCTATGATAAGGGGTCTGGTTGTCATCTGTGGAGTATGTATCATACTTTAAAAACCTATATCTTGAAGAACAAGATGGAGGTCAGGAAGCCAGGACAAGATGGGATGGGGAGAATAACCAGGCCTGGGCCGTGAAGAATGAAAGAATGAGGGGTTCAGAAGTCGAGGTCGCTTGCAGACCTGGTGAAGCACAAGCAAGCCAAACACAATCATTTGTTTTTTAAACACAGGCAAAGCTGCTTTCTTTTTGAAGGCTATGGAATTTGCTGTCAAACAGCAAAAAATCCAGGCAGTTAATGGATATTTGGACTGTTATAATGAATTGAACACTCAGGTTGTCATGCATTTGACTTCATACTCTAAGCAACATCCTGGTAGTCATCCACGTCTACTTCAATGAAGACACTCTGATTACTTTTCAGAAGAATGGAAGAAAGGCTTGATCATTTTGCAAGCCCCACCATGAGGCTGAGAAGTCAACCACTACGAGTTTATTCCTGCACTGTGAGGCTTCTTGAAATGTGTTTGCTCTCATTTGCTTCACCATTCTTGTACTGGCTCTGATAAGTGCCATAAGAACTTTAATACATTTTAATTCTGAGTTATTAAACATATTCATCAAGCTGTCTGGCAAATTCAAATAGCAATAGCTATTTAGGTTTCTTAAGTATATACGTTAGTAGAGAAGGAGTGAAATGACCAGCCACATGTATATTATTAACTGTTATTTACCAAAAAAACATTTTCAGTTCTGAAGAAGATTACAAAAAACCACTATATTGTTAGGAGATGGTGCAATAAAAGATTGGAATAATTGAATAAAGTGTGATAAGCGTGCACAAATAGAAAAAGTTCTTTTGGTTTAAAGCCTCTTAATTTTGAGTGTTTATTCATTCATTCCATGAATATTTATTGCTGGCTTACAATGTTCTAAGCATTGTTTAAAATTCTGGAATATATGGATATTAACGATGTTACGAATAAATATCTACAATCAGTAAAAAAAACAAAACAAACAAAAAAAACTATATCTTGCTCTTGCTCTATAATCCTATGTTCCTGTCCTCAATAAACCTCATTTTTGTGCTTGCCTTACTTTGGTGCATCTGGTCATTCTTTGGCCATGAGGATGCCAAGAAATGACATTTCAGATTGAAACTCCACACTGTCTTGTCCAAACTTTAGACAGGCTTGTCTACTTCCCATGGGCCTTTGAACTTTGGCTTATTCCCAACCTTGAACAGCGCTATATTGCAGCATATACTCCCTTCATTAACTTATCCCAAGAGTCAGCTGACCACACCAGATACATTTCCTGTCTGATGGTGCCTGCCATGCTATCTACTCACCCCCGCCCCCGTTTCTTACCTAGCTTCTTAAATTTTATGCAAAATTCTGCTTACATCTCTCTATAAAAGAAAAACTTTTTTCTGTTTGATTTTGATACATTTGCATATTTCAGGGTTCTCCCTGTTGCAATAGTCTTTATGAATAAAGTCTCTTCTTATCAAAGTCTGCATTTCTTTTTATTTGACACTTCTTAAAGCAGGTGTTAATAATGTTACAATTATTTCAGATGTCAATATCAGCATCAAGTCTACCCAGAAAAAATGAGACTAAGAATTAAACAATTATATCATAGACTTAGGCAGTGCAAAGTAGAAAACCTGGATAATTTTGTGAATTTATGAGGCACTTTTTGTAAGGTGTTTTTTATTGTCAACTGAAGAATCACAAGGTTCATAAATTTGAAAAAAAGAGTTCATTTTATTCTCATAAAGGGTTGCAGCCTGCAGGCTGGTCATCCTGCAGGTTGGGAAACACAGGCTCCAACAGAAGCTGAGAGCACCTACCTCAAAGAAGGGGTAAAGGGAACAGGAGTTTATGCTGAGGGGCTGCCCAAGTATATCTAAAAAGCTATAGGAGGAGTTATGAATATCTATGAAAATAGAAACAGGTGCATGGGCATGACCCAACAGTAGAGTGTTGAACACTCTAATGTCAAAAGATCAAGGAGAGGACATGAAAACCTTCTGAGAACAGCTTCATAGACTGGTTAGAAACATTCCAGGGTTAGTAGCCTCTCGTTAGGAAGGAATGCTAGTCAGTTGTGTCAAAACTGCAAAAGTGAGGGGCAGCATTAGGAGGTTGGTTGAATTCAGTGGGGGAGAGAGTCTTTTGAAAATGCTGGTCTCTGTTTAACCTTTAGAGAAGAATGCCTAATGAAAATTGGTTGGGGGAGGGGGAGGGCCTATAAAATTGTGTATGACCCTCCCACCCCATCATGGCCGGGAATTCAATTTTTAAGGTTTCTCTGGGATCTCTTTGCCCAAGAGAGTGTCTGGTCAGTTGGTTGGGGGGGGCTTAGGATTTTATTTTTACTTTTTATTACAAACTGAATAGTAACGTGGAATAAAATAAAAAAAAAAAACCCAAATCATTTAAAAGATAATATTTGGCTTCATACTAAAAAAATTTTCTTAAAATTGTAAGTTACTTCATTTTTGTGAGCTCTCATGTATATAGATTACATTATTTTTATCTTACTTATATCTCATTTATACAAAACTAATTAGACATTATGCAACCCAATCTTTTTATTATTTTAAATAATACTACTTTACTTTTTATTAGAGAATAAAAATATGGAACACTTCACAAATTTACATGTCATCCATGTGCAGGTGCCATGTTAATCTCTTTATCATTCCAATTTTAGTATATGTGCTGCCTAAGTGAGAACACAATCTTTTTTTATTATTAGAAAGATATTTGAGATCAATAAACTCCCTTTTTCAGGGGCTATGTTGAGACGAGGGTCAGAGCTTCTCCCCTTTGAAATAAGCCATCAGAATAGAAAAATAATTACTTCATGAAAGGTGAGAATTTTGCTACTGGAGGTTTCTGTGATAAAACAATATGGTGAAAGAGAATGTTGACTTTTAGCTGGATTTTAGTGGTGTAAATAAATTTAGCTACTTCATTTGAGGAAAATATCCTCTGCTTAGTAAATTATATTAATAAAGTTATCACCATAAAATTAAATATATCATCTAAACAAACATATTTTTGGATAATGTTCATTTAATGACGATAGGAAATTTTAGACAAGTCTATAAAATGTAAAGTCAATGAAAAGAAAAACAATTCAGTTATATTTTTGTGTTGTTTTGTTTTCATTAAAGTCTTTTATCTAAAACAATTTTGTCCCAGTAAAAATGTTCCACTAGGGGAGAAATCAATATTGTCACAATAGTATCATAAAAGCTACAATCCCACTGCTAATGGGCAAATAATCAGAAAAACAATATTATATGAATGCATGTGCCTTTGGTTCCATTGCATAACTAAATAGGAAGCATGGACTATGGACAGTGAAAAAAGGTTTATAAAGTTGATAAATGATTGATTGGATGTGAAGGCCATCTGGCTGCCACATCTGTCAGCCTGTTGATCACCAGGGTTGATTCAGTTGGTCTGGCTAACTAGGCCAGTGTCCCCTCATGACTCCTGTGTTTGTCCAGATGCTGCCTGCTGGGTTGAAAAGGGTGGCCTTTCCTGAGAAAGGAGGACAGTTTTTCTGTCAAAGGTATAAATGACCAGTTAGTAAAATTCAAATATAAAACAAGTACACAAAAAGTCAACTGAATTGCATAAAGATTTCTCATATGAACTTTTCTTACTTCCTACATGGGCTTTATGCCTTCAAAATTCTTCCAGCTCATTCACATTCATGGCCTCACCACTGGTGATAATTCACATATTATTGCTAAATCAAAAAAATCATTTTTTAAAAATATATAACCAGAAATAAACTTCAGAAAGTCCTTTGGTTTATTTTCTTATTTTCCAAAAGAATACGAGGTATAAATAAGTGAAAAATCACTGAAGTTTCTTCAATGATAGTTATATTCAAAGTTAAAGTATTAAAATTCACTAGTGATTCTGTCAGTCATTTATGAATTAATACATTCTGGTGAGTTTAACAATAGGAGTAGCTCTTCTGAATGTAAAGTTGTGCTATTAGAAGCTCTTTGTATTTCCACTAATGGTTGAAAATATGAAGAACAGTAAAAAATTTGCATGTAGATATAGACACATTTCATTGTCACTTTTAAGCTTAAATAAATGATGCTTATTTTCATTGGTTAATTCACCGTGAGGTATATAGAATTATGTAGCTCAATCAATTATCTCAAATTAATTCAAGGAGTTTTACAGAAGGAAAAGGCATCATCTACCTTTCAATTTTCAGGGAAAACTTGACCTTAGGTGATGCTAATTAGAAGATCCGTCAAAGTATATAACAAAAATGAAGATATGTCTTTTCGCTTAGCCTATATTCTGGATGCTGCAGTACCTCATATTGTTATATTGTCAAAATCAGTAATTAACTTGGTTTAACTAAGAGTTGTGTCCAAACATAAGTTAGATTCTTGGTATTCAAAGGTCATCCACAAATAAGAAAATCAGCAACATTTGGAAACTCGTTAAAAATGCAAAATCTCTTATTAAAATATATTTAAAATGCCTCTTTCCCAAACCACTAAACTGGAATCTGGAATTGTAACATCATCCCCAGGCCATTTCTATACACATTGAAATCGAGAAGCACCAGGTTATGTGCTTTAAAAGCACATAGGGTTGCTTTAAAAGGAACCCTCTTATCAAATATGGAATTGAACTGGATATGTGTTAAGATCCTTCACAATCCTGAGACTGTGTGGCATTTTCTGACAAGGTAAAGGAAACAAATCTTAACTTGTCCCTTGTCCTATAACCTTCTCTTATGTCATAGAAAAGATTGTGAAACTCTTTTGTTCTTCTTATTGGTATTTTGTCTGAGGA